ATGTATTACAAGTGTGGGGTACTACGTGTGTATGAGTGTGCATTTGACTGCGTGGAAGTGACTGTGTTGGAAATGGGTGTGTGCGTGTCTGTGAACGTAGGTAAGTAGGAGATGACGTGTGTGAAGTGTGTGGAAGTTGGGACAGAAGAGAAAAGAAAAGAACACAGCAATGGACAGACAACTGGGCTCCAACAAATGATCCAGAATGAGGGTTCTGAGAAGGGATGGGTGGCTCTGAGGAGTCCTTGGTCACCAACTGTTCTAGAAGGTTCCCTCAGACTTCCTAAGGTTTTCAGAGGACTCCACTACTTGGAAAAGCTTAAGACCCCCTACTTGATGGCTAAACAGAATGTGGTCTGTCCACACAGTGGGTGATCTGTGGGTGCAGCCCGGACATTAGTGGTACCTGGGCCTACAGGTCACCAGCACGTGGACAGAGGCCCTGGAGAAGCCAATGGCTGACAAAAGGGTGCTGGAGCCGGAAGTCGGCCTAGTTACACGGCTGAACAAGAACACTACGCAGGTCTGGAATTCTACACAGAGAGCCTGAGCATCCACAGAGCCAAGCCCACAGCCTGAGTGCCTCTGGGCAGACAAACATCTCGGCACTGCCAGTACTGGCCAGGTGCCTGCACTCAGACAGGAGGGCCCGGCTCTGCTCTGGCCGCCACAGCCACCACCGGACCTCCCACATCACAGCAGGTCCACAGGCTGAGAGCTGGACGTCCAGTATCCGCAGGTAGACACAGAGCTCGGAAACCGCCCCAGACGGCTGCATGTGCCAGGCCACCAGGAGTAGCCTGGCCAGAGCGCCTCAGCACACATGAACTGTCAGCCGCGGGGCCAGGCCGGCCAGGGAGGCTCCTAAGCAGCACCCTCACCGTTGTCGAAGTCGATGTACTTGGTGATCTTGTGCCAGGTGCGGTAGTAGAAGTGCCGGACCTGCTCCTTGTTCTTCACCATGCTCGTGGGCTTGCCCTTCTTCTTGTACTTGAGGGCGATGTTGTTTTGGATCGCCTCAAAGTCCTTCCCATGCTGGAAGAAAACGGAACCCTTGTTAAAGTTTGGTGCTGACACGGACCAGCTTTGTGAGGAAGGAGGAGGGGTGAGGACTGGTCTCTCAGGATGTGAGCCACAAATCCCAGACAGGAACGAGGAGCTCAGGGACAGGACTAGGGCAGTGCACAGCGCCTAAGGGGCAAGAATGCTGGACCAAGAAAGACTGAAAAGTCCACCCTCTGCTCCGGCAGCTTCACCTTCAGTTGTTGACAAACCACAGCAGGAGACCAGGGCTTCAAACCCGGTTCAGATCTCTTCCGTAATTGCCCTAGTACCCTGAGCCACCTATGTTGCATAGCAACCAAATCTGTTGCTCATGGCACTCTGACCTGAACAGGCCCCCAATAGCAGTTCCCAGCTCAAAGATGGCGGCCTAATGCCCTAATGGCCTGCTCTGAATGTAGCTCCTCTCCACAGGCCTGCAGCAGTCCTTGTAAAAGGGTCAGGAGCCTGCGGGAGGGAGGAGGCTGGACTACGGGCAGGAGCTTGAGAGCAGCACATACTCAGAGCGGCCTGGTTGGCTAACACCTCTGAGTGGGCACAGATTCAGTGGCTGCGCAGGGGGTCCACGGCCTCGTGGAAGGACAACAATTACGGAACTGTTGAGATGCGGTGGGATCCCTGCACGAGACACCTCCCTAGAGATCACCATCAGACGAGAGGACGTGTCCCTGGAGTTCAGGGTGGAACACGTCCGCTACTTTGAGAATCACTCTCCAGGCTGTGGTACTGCCAGAAAGGGCAGGCGTGCGGATCCAGGCAGGGGCCCGCACGGAGCATGTGGATCCAAGCGGGGGCCCGCACGGAGCGTGTGGATCCAGGCAGGGGTCCGCACAGAGCACGTTCTGACTACCTCTGTGGGCCCGCTCTCCCCTAAGCGCTCCAGACTAAAGGGAAGCACGTTTGCCTTCGCTGGCATTCCAGGGGCTGCCCAGAGAAAACGTAGGACATGGGAGCACTCAGCGTAGTAATGGGCACACCAGGAACCACAGCTTGGTCTCCAACACCAAGAGGAATGAGAGAGCCCGGGAGAAGCAGCTACTTCCAGGACCGGAGCAGGGAAATACAAGAGTGCAGAATGTGCTGCAGAATGAGAGGAACGTGTAGGAGACACCGGAACCCCTAGACGGGACCACTGGTGGCCAGATCTGGAGCCATGCGGCAAGGACCTAAGATACAAATGGGTTAGGACTGTAGGGTCAAACAGCACATACCCACACAGTAAATAACTGAAGACGTATGTGGCCACATGTAAGGTCTTGGCATCCAAACCAGTCAACTGAACTGCCACGTGGTGATAAAGACAGCAGAGGAAACAGAGTGGACACGAGATGCCGCGCTGCCGCCCACTCACCTCGTACAGCCCCTCGAAGAAGGTGTTCTTGTCCTCAGTGCTCCAGGACTCCCACTGGCGCCGCACCTTCTTGCCCTCCTCCTTCTCGCCTCCCGCAGAGCCTAGGTTCCGGGAGGAGGGGCGCGAGCCCCCTGCAGGCGGGGCCCCAGGCCCATTTCCTGGTCCTGCGCCACCACCGTTGTCGGCTCCTTGGAGAGAAAGCAGCAGAGTGTCTGCCCTATTGCCCAGGAGCCCTCAGCATGCTAGGCCCGTGAGATGGCTCAGTCCTGACACAGTCCCAAGCTGATCTGCTGACACTTCACAGTGTGCTTTAGAGGCAGAGAAGGGCGTCAGGTGACACAATGTACTGGGGAAACCAGAGGCTCCAGGGTCCTTTCTCCCCTCTGTGATGGGAAGCGCAACTCTATTCAGACACACACAGGGCCACCAAGCGTCAGGGCGCACTCACTGGCAACTGGCGGCAGAAGTGGCTCTTCTAGTGAGGTTTTGATTCAAATAAGCAAGTGGAAACCCAGATTCAGGAAAACCTTTCCATACTGCCTCAGGATTCTACTGCCTGTGGCCACCAAGTGGGCTGACTCACAGTGACCTCATACAGACCAGAAGGATATGCTGCCCCAAGCATGGTGGTCTGCCTAAGCCCCGAGAGGTTACTGTGTCAACCCATCTCACTGAGCGTCACCCTCATTTTCAGTGACCCTCAACTTTACCCACTTCCTCACCAACTGTCTTGTTAGCTGACATTTTACGTTTATGACACTATATGGACTCAGTCTTTAGGAGTTAACCACGTCAAAAGTGAGAGGTGGGTGGACCTCAGATCGTCTTCACAATGGTACACTCTTCGTATTCTTGATTAGTCTCCAGCGTAACCCCCGGGTGCCTGGAAGTGCCCTCATAACCTCCCAACTTCTCTGGAAGCATCAGTGACCACCCTCACAAGGAGTCCTTGAAACGGTGTGCAAAGGCAAAAGCGACTCGATTAAAATGAGGGTCTCTTGTAGATCACGTGTGCCCGCATTAGGGAGCAGAGTCTCTGGGTTCCTGAGTGAACTGAGGTAGTAAGCAGGAGTCAAAGGTCATAGACAAACCATTTCTATGACCTAACCCAATGCTTCCACCCCTCCCACTTCCTTCCTCTCTCAGTGGGAAGAGGAGGGAACTACCAGCGTAGCCCATGGTAAATGACCATAAATGGTGCGAAGCCTCAAATGTGAGGCCATCTTGAAACAAAGGCCAACATATCATAAGAAAAAAGAAACATGTTCTGGGAAGCAAAGGCAGACCAGCGCAGACACCTCTGCGATGCTTTCCTGAAGGAATCTACTTTCTGGTGGGTGTCACGCAAGGACACTCACGCCCATGCATGGACAGGGTCTCAGGGCCCAGACCCTGCACATTCTCAGTGTGAGCGTGCTACCAAGGAGGGTAAGAACATCACGTAGGTCCACCGGAAACCATGAGAAGTAAAAGCAGCGAAAGGCTGGTCATCGGTGGACCCCTGCAACCACACTCTTTGGAAAAACACATGAAGAATTATGTCAATCAACAGGCATCACACTACACAAACACGGTGCCTTACCTCCTGCTGCGGTTAAGTAGTGATGAGGTCTAAGAAAGATTGCAATCGGCCATCGAACCAAAGCAGAGAACGGTGAAGAAAAAGACTCAGGAAACAGTCCAGAGGACGAATGGACACAGGACCCCCGACCTCTATGACCCAGAGACCACAAGAACTAGATGGTACCCAGGGGTGTCTGTTTTGACTGGGATCATAATAAACACAGAACAAAAAAGAACAAAACAGACCACACTTACTGGTCTGATACAGAAAGATGGGGTCCCTGAGACTACGGTCCTTAGACATCCTTCAAAATCTGGAGCTGAACCTCCCACCCCCATGCTCCATCAAGAGATCAGTCTATAAAATGAACACTAACACGTCCTTCAGAACCATCAACCACATGAGATCAAAAGGAAAAGGGCAGCATTTGCCCAAACAAAGCTCAGAAGACAGGAAGGAGCAGGAACCAAGGACAAGGAAGAACCAATGGACTCAGGGACACATGGGACAGGTGCTGCTGAGCTAAGGGCATCACAACCAACGTCACAAAACACAACGGGCTGCGCGGCTGAACAGGATGCTAGCGGCACTTCGTCAACTGCCACCGAAACCACAGCAAAATGTTCGAGAAAAGGAAAGGGGTCTCCAGTGGGCTGGGGCACAGAGCCGCTCTTCACTGCTGCCCTGTGGACCTTTCTGACTGTGAGAATCCACATCACAATCTAACGTGGGGTTGGGAAACAGTTCCCATCGGCCAGTTATCAGGAAGCAGACCATGTGGGCCATGTGCCCAGAAAACAAGGGCTGCTTCTCCAGTTGGGAAGATGAGACCCTCAGAATGCTGAGGTAGCAGGATGCTACTTCAATGTAAATATTGATGGTTTTCTTGGTTGTTAGCTGGTGTCAAGTCAATAGGGTCTCGTGGGCTTTTCTTGGTGGTCATCTTCACAGACGCAGCCCGCCAGACCTTCCTTCTGTGGTGCCAACTAGGTCCCAAACTGCCACCCTTTAGGTCAGCAGTCAAGGGAAATGGCACCATCTTGTTGTTGTTGTTAAGTGCCATCCAGTCAGTTGGACTCATAGCGACCCTGTACACGGTCTCCAGAGCTATGTGTCTTTGCAGAAGCAAAAAACCTCATCTTTCTCCCAGAGCAGCTGGTGGGCTCAAACCGCTGACACTGTGGTCTGAAATCCAGTGCATATCCTACAGAGCTGCAGGCACCATGTAGGGGCTTTCAAATACTGGTTCCATTAAACTAAATGCAAACTCACTCCTTGGCCATACTGGCCATATTTCACGTGTTGGTGGCTCGTGTGGTGTGCGGCTCCCGTGCTGGACAGAAGCCACAGGGCAGCCCTGTGCACACTGAGCGCTCAGCACTCACAGAACAGAGAACAGTCACACTCAAAGTGCTTCAGGGTCCCAACCCACCTTCAACTGGCTCTACTTTACCTGGCCCCGTCTTCTCTGTGCCTAAGAGTGGGCTAGGGCAGCACCCGAGGCGTGGCTGGCCTCGGGTCCTCTCCTACCCAGACCCTCAGCATGCCCTGGTTAATGAACCTGGCCTCCTTCCCGATGTGGGTTCACGTGCAGGAATAACCCACCTCAATCCACTTCTCATAGGCCAGAGGTGTTTGTATCCTGACATGAAGAGCAGATTGAAGACACCATTTGAACCTCATCCTTGAGTACCCTAAGCTCCCGCGGACCTGGAGTCCCGAGGCTGTATGTAGCATCGCTGAGTAAGGCTACCACCTGCTATCCCTGCACCACTGTGGGCAAGGATTTCAGAGGCGCTCTCTAATTCTTACTAAATTCTCTTCCACCAAGACACAGCAACCTGCTAACAAGTCCAAAATCACAGCTCAGGTGTACCTCTGCCAGCCCTGTACTGGTACTGGATGTATCCAACAATAGCATACATATTTCTTAAATTGCATAATCCAGATATCTTGCTAAATTTTCTGAGATTTTACTAACAAAAACATGAAACTGGTGATCTACAATAATCCTAAACAGTAACAGACTATAGAACCCAGGCCTTTCTAAGCTGCTGGTTGTTGTTAGGGGAGGTCTTTCGAGTCAGTTCCAACCCATAGTGACCCTGTATTGGGTTTCCAAGGAGTGGCTGGTGAGTCTGACCCACCGACATTGCGGTTCAAACTGACCTTTCGGTCGAGTGCGTTATTCTGCAGCCCCACATAGACTAGAAGCGACCCCACTAGTTACCGTGAAAACAAGGTGCTGTTCTTAAGTGCCATCGAGCTGGTTCCAACTCACAGCAACTCTTTACGAGGTTTCCAACGAGCAGCTGGTGGGTTTGAACTGCTGACCTTGTGGTTTGCACTCCAGTCTGACCCTATAGCGCCACATCAGAAGTTCGAAAACAGGGTCCAACACTGTAAGAGGCTGTGATGAGGCTTGAGGCGGTGAAGCAGACCCCGGAGGGACGGCCCGTCTGCACCGGCCTGAGAGGCTCAGGCTTGCTTCCCAATACTGCCTCAGTGGAGACAGCAAAGCAACTTAGACGTTCAGAAAAGGAAATAAATCACCATTTCTAACCTTTGCTGCTTTACAGTCTAAACCTGACTGGTGTTTTAACAACAAGCAATCATGAAAGTTGAGGGCACAAAGGCGAATTGGCACCTGGCCCACCCCCAAATTGAGATGAAGAAACTACTTCATCGCTGTATCGCTCGTCCACCTGCCAACTCCAGTTCAAGCACATGAGACCCTGGAACTGGGATCAGAGAGCTCCTGAGTGAATGCCACAGCGACCAGGAGTCTAGAACTCAGGTGAGAACACACGGTGTCAGCTGGGAGGGGAAGAGAGACAAATGAGGAGAGTGGAGGCAGGGCAAAGACGAGCGAAGAGAAGAGACAGTCACGTGAGAGTGGTCAGCATGGAGGACTCTCCAGGGGTAGGATGGGGTGCGAGGAGCCCAGCTAAGAAAACCTCCAGCTGACTTCATTTCTAAAGCCACAAAGAGGCTGGACAACGGTCTCTACGATGAGAAGTCGCGCTGCAGAAACCCAGAAGGAAATGTTGCCAAGTGTAGGCCCCTACAGAGAGCTCTCAGAGTGCGTGCGCGTGGTTCAGCTCACGTTCAGCCCCACGTCCAGCACTGGGCCTCACACAGGAGCCACTCCGAGTCGTCCAGGGACCACCAGACAGACAGGGCCCCTCTGTACTTCCAGCATGGCACTCTCCTCTGCGCCAGTCCTGCTCCCGGACGCTCGAGCACACAGGGCAGGTGTTTCATAAACAAACATCAAACATCACTCCCAACTGTTCATCGTCTAGTTCACTTCTAAAGAGCCTGTCCCACCACCCCTGTGGGTGATTATTCCAAGATGGTGGCAGCTGATTATTCCAAGATCTGAACGTAACCTGAATACTATGATCCCTAGGACACATCCTGGTCATCTCTGTATGCCGGAGCAACCCCGCTGTCTTCTCAATAGACGGCCTTTCTTCTGGCTGGGCTTCCTGTGTGAGGCATACTTGGGAAGCAGCCTCTCTCTGCCCAGTCCACCTTAGCCTGGAAGGCTCCCCCTCATTCCAGAAAAACACAAGTAAAATGCCATTATTTCTATTCAAATGCATGCCCTCTTCTTCATGGAGACTTTGAAATAAGTTTAGGAAGCCATTCTTAACATCCCAACTGCCCTACACATGACTGGGGGCTCGTCTGCCTACCTGGGCTAAGAACAGCATGGTTACCTAATGTGACAAAATGCTTCTACGCACCATCATTCACAACACAACTACGGCGTACCCGTGGGACGCCGTTATCTGAAAGTGTTCCTCTTGTATCTTTGTGTCTCTGCATTCTCCAAATTAGGACAATGTACCAAATAAAATGGTTGTTAGGTGCCGGGGAGTCGGTTCCGACTCAGAGCGACCCTGTACAGGGTTTCCGAGGTTGTAAATCTTTACGGGAGCAGACTGCCTCATCTTTCTCCCACAGAACAGCTGGTAGTTTCAAACTACTGATGCTGAGGTTAGCAGAGCGATTCGTAACCACTACGCTATAAAACCCCAATATATACTTTGTTGGCACAAAACAATTCCATAGTCAGGAACCATAGAAGCCGCATTAGTGCCGAAGGAAAAAGTTCAGGAAAAGTAGCTCAGCACTAAAGCCAGTATTCCAACATTATTCTGTGCACTTGTGTATCCACACATGCATGACACACATATTCATGCGCTATAACACGTACAAATGTGCAGGACCAGACAGTGTTTTGTTTGGTTGAACACAGGGTTACTATGCGCGGAACTAACTGCATCGCACGTGTAATATGGGGATGTGCACATGTGCTCTACATGCGCTGGACCCTGGTGGTGCCCTGGCTTAAGTGTCAGATGCTAATCAAAAGGTCAGTTGAACCCACCAGCCACCCTGCGGGAGATAGATGGGACAGTATGCCTCTTAGAACCCCTAAGGGACTTGCTGAGTAGGAACGGACTCAATGGCGGCATCTGGCTTCTTGTTTTGAGGGCTAGACATGTACACGTCTGAATGAGCGTAAATGTCAGTGAGTCTTTTTGACTGCAATTCAGTGCCCCAATGTGTACAGAGCAAAACTGCCCAATCAGAGGGTCTTCAGGGCTATGACCCTTTGAAAGCAGGTCATCTAAGCCGTCTCCCAAGGCTCCGCTCAATGGTCTGAAGTCGTCACAGCTGAGTTCTCGCCGTCCACAGGCACATGTACCCTTGATGCTCAGCTCAGCTTGTGGAGACGGGCAGCAGCTCCTAGGCGCTCTCCTCCCTGGCCCTCTCAGAGGTCTGCCTGTGTCTCCTGACCAACAGAGCAGGAGCAGGTGTCTTACCCCACACGTGACATCACCCAGGGTGCACACACAGCCAGAGGCTGGACAGTCATCGGGGTGCGTGCTTCTGGGACAACCCAACGTCACAGGGCACTGAGACCACAACGGGCACCTTCCCGAAATATCACCGTCCATGCACTGACCGGGTTAGACAGGGCAGCAGGATCTGAGGCCAGCTTCAGGCTGCCTGATGGACAGTGAGCAAACATCATCTCACAAACAAACAGGCGAGAAGCAGCCACACACCATCGCGTCTGGACAAGGCTGTCCCCATCCGGGGGCTTTTCAGAAGGGGAGGCTTCCAGTGAGGCTCCCAGCTGTCGACACCTGCCGACACACAGGGGCTCTGCTGTCCTTTCCTTCCTGCTTTCAGGAGCAGCCAGGTCCATTCTACACAACAGAACCCTTCATCCTGAATTCAAGTGAGGGCAGCTCTAAGCGACTGTCTTGCCTGAGGGAACCGAATTCAGGCGGTTGGGTGTGCATGTTGTCAGGCAGCGGCAGCGGCGGCTCTTTGGTCCAGTCCAAGTCTCTGGATTCCTAAGTCAGCCTCCTGTCTTCCTGAGGCGGTCCACACCCAGGTGACAGTTGAGGAGATCACAGAAAAGCAACTGTCCTTCCACACACTGCGCTCATGGCTCGTCCATCTCCTGAGCCCACTATGCTGAGCTATATGCACGGGAGCATTATGTGAGGGGGGAGGACAGGCAGCTCAGAGATCATGAAAGTACAAACCAGGGTAAAATCCGCACCACACTTTACAGATTCTTCAGCCATGGTCCCACGCCACCAGGAGGTGGGTGATGCACCCAGGTGGCAGATACCCAGGTGGCATTTTCTAACCGCCCCTCCCCCGTCCTCAGATTCTTGAACAGGAGGTGGGGGGAGGTGGTGTCAAGGCAACAATATTACCAGCCCCCACCCCAAATGTCCACCAGCCCAACTCTGGGCGTTTCTCAGACCTCTGCCTTTCCCAACACACAGGTAGACCTTCAACCCACCCACGTGAGCAGCCTCCCCCAGCTATTTCGCATCCCGCACTACGCCCATTTTCCATTGTGGAAGCCTCGGGAGCCCATCACTTGCTGACTTCAGTTGCCATCAAGGTCACTCCACCTCATGGTGACGCCGCCATGTGTGCAAGGGGGCCCGTCTGCTGAGGAACCGCCCAGCAGCTCCCTAACCAGCACATCCAGAGGCGGTTTTCACCATGGCGAGGCGGGCCCTCCTCCTGTCCCAGCTACAAAGAAATGGAGGCTCCACCTCGAGGTGGCTTTGTTTGCCAGCATCCCTCAGACCACAAAGTGGTCACACTGGGAAGGGCCTGGGGTCTCTGCCTCCCTGGTGGGTTTTTCCAGATGATCTCCGTGACTGTGGGTTTTGGTTTCCCACACAGGCTCAGGCTACTTCGGGCTGTGTGGGAGGACTGGAGGGCTGTTCCTCTGGAATCAAACAGATTCGTCCATCTCGAGTTGCACGTTCCTCCAACAACAAACTCTGGCTTCTGCCCCCAAGTAAGACACAAGCAACAGGGATGGGAGGTGCCCTTGCGCAGGAATCACATCTTCGTTGCCTCCCTTTTACTGATTCAAAAGACAATTTACTCTTCGCAGAAGCAATGATTTCTCACTGAAGTTAACAAGACCGTTCTCTAGAGAGAGAAGGCGAAGTGAAGAAAAGTCACTGAGGCGGGCTCCCCTCTCTCCAGTCTCATCCTCCAACCAAGAGACGCCACCGACTCTGCCTGAATCAGCATGGTGGAAATGACAATACTGTCACGAGAAAAGGTCAGTGCCACACTGTCCAACTGATCCGTGGTCACCAGCCTAGCTGGAAAGATGTGCCTCTGGGAACCGTTTCCAAAGGTGAGCTAGAAAACACGGGTGTGCTGCAGCTGGCTGAGGCGCTCCTCAGTTGTTAACAGACAGCAAGCATTGTGCAGGGGCCACCCTGCCGCACTGGCAGGGGAATGAACGTCTTGGAGGCAGTGACGTGTGCCCCAATAGGACCCAGGAATCCTGTTTGTGCGGGATGGCCACACAGAGGCCGGCTGCTGGCCTAGAGGTGGTGAAGCCAAGGGGCTTTGCTTCCTCCTCCGCTCCTGAAAGCCACTGTTTCAGCTTCATTGTTTTGTTAAAAATAAGAAAATCCTTGCTTGCTGAAACAGGAAAATGCAAAGTCACAAGAAAATTCTGTTGGCTCATTTAAAAAGTACACGAAAATGTCAATAGCTGCTCCAAGCGACACAGTGGGACCAGAATCCGGAGCGGAAGTGTTGTCTAGGAGCTCAAAAGCAGGAGTTTGAGGTTGACCCAGGAGGCCTCATCCATCTCTCTGGTGAACAATCCCCTCCTGGATGGCAACCGAGCTGAGACCAAGTGCATGACTTGTTGAAAATGAACGTCAAACTGATGATCTGCTTCAACTTTCACTCAATTCACAATAAAACGTGTAAAACCAACCACTTCTTCCCGCCAGTAGTATCAGATCACTAACCCAACCTCAACTTTCAGCAGCACTCCATCTTCACACGTTACAAAGACCCCAAAAGGGCCTGACTGATGGGGGGAAAGCATAGACATTACCTGATACCAAGAACATCCTACAAAACACACCAGATCCCTGAGCAACATTCACCACAAACTCACAGCTCGGAGACAAGTGTTAGGTTCTAAAACATATTCTCTAGGGCACCTTTTACTCATATTGCATTCCGTTTCAAAATACTTTTACTGATAAAAATGAGGAGAGCCGCCATTCGAGAGGCTAAACTGAGCGCAGAACATCTGGCCGCAGTCTCCAAAATGGCTTCTCTGGCGCTGCTGAGATACTGACCTTGTAAAGTCACCAGGACCACATAGCAAATGTCAGTGACCATTCCCAGGGAACAGTGCGAGATTTTCTTCCTCATGAGATTTCCAGGAAATCGGTGCTGCCTTACTATCCATAGAGTGGCTCTTAGGATAAGCACTGACTGCAAACTATAAGGTCAGCAGTTCCAGCCCACCAGCCGATCGCAGGAGCTAGATGAGGCTCTCTGCTCCCGCAAAGATTTAAAACCTCAAAAACCGTATACAAGGTTCGCTAGGAGCGGAGGTGATTCCAGCCACTTTATACACATACAGACATAGGAGACACCCTGCTATGGTGTCTGCTGTAGAGCGGGCCTGCGGTGGAGATGCAGGTGGGGGAAGGAAGGGGTGCTCTCTGGGCCCCGGGAGGAATCGGGTGGGACATCCCAGAGAGGGAGTGGGGTTGGGAGGTCATGGTACCTTTGGCCCGGGTCCCTGAGGAGCTGCTGCCTCCGCCGCCTGCACAGGACGAGTCCTTTCTGAGCCTCTTACTCTGCGGCCTCACGCTGGACCTGAGGAAGTGGTGCTGGTCCTGGGGGGAGCCCTGCGGGGCACAGGGGGCCGGGGGGCCGGGGGGCCCGACGCTGCCGCTGCTAAGGGGCTGCTCGGCCTCCTTTGTGCCGCTCGTCTCCTCGGTCGCGTCTCCTCCGCCGGCGCCCTCTCCTTCCAGGGAGGCCTCATCGGCCGCGCGCTTGCCCAGCTTCTTGAGCCCGTCCTCCCCGCCGCTGTCTCCCAACTTCACTGTCATCCTGAGGGGGGGACAGGCCAGCGGGCGGCAGCAGGCCCGGGCCGCGGGGACAACTTTAGCCGCACAAATTCCCTCTCAACATGGCCGCCGTTGTTTGTTCCAATCCCCTCCCGGCCCGGCCGCCCGGCCCGCCCGCCCTCCCGGCCGCCCGCACCGCCCGCACCCGGGACCCTCGGCTGCCGCCCGGCTGGTCCCACAACACCCGGTCCAGAGCAGTCGTCTGGGAGGCGCGGGCGCCAAGCGGACCCCGGGGACTGTGCGGCCCGGTCCGCGCCCCTGCGCCCCCAGGTCCGGCCCGGTCCGCTCGGGCCCACCTACCCGAAGGGGACACGGCTCATGACCTCGGCACCGCCCTGGGGCCGCCTGCGCGCCCGGCTTGCTCCCCTGCGACGCCCGGCCCCGGACGGGCCATCCACTGGCTCCTCTGGCCTCGTCCCCACCCCCTCCCCGCCCCCCGAAACGGGCGCGGGGCTCCCGGGGCCCGCGCACCTGCCCCGAACGCGGGCTCCCGAAGGTGGCCCCGGAGCAAGGACGATGGGCCTGGATGGACCCTGGGGGTGGAGAGGGCTCCCGGATGGCCTACAGTCCGCTCTCTGATTAGAAAACGGGCGTGCAGAGGGACCATGAGCTCCAGCTTTCTGGGAACCCTTCTTCCCAGGATGTGGGGCTTTTACTGCTACCACCGAGGTTTTACGGATTTGGAAGGGGGGGGTGGGGTGCTTTTGCAACAAAGGAGCCTGTTGCATCTAGCAGGTTGGATGCAACAGTAAACGACAATTGTCAAAACGCTAACATTCCATAAAATTCCAGTTTTAACTAGGTCACCTGCTTCGTGTAAAATGTCAACAACAAAATGTAATGAGTGTAGACAATGTTTGCAGCCCACAAAGCAGATCTGATGAAAAATAAACAATGAGAATCTGGGAGTGTGGACATTTTGAACCCAGAAACAGCCAATAATGTGTTTGAAAGCTGTATGTTGGAGTCCTCAACAGACTTGGATAGTATGTCGAAACTGTGTTTGATAGGATCCACACCACCACAACTGGGGAAAGGGAATGTCTTATTTAAAAGCCCAACACTAACAATGAAATATAGTACCGTGTGCAACCACCTTTTATAGAAAGATCTGGAAGTAAGTTCAATTTTTTTTTTTTTTTTAGCATACCACTACTATTCTAGGGTATCAGGCTACAAAATCATCTGTAGCAGTTTTATAACTTCTCACAAACCACTTGAATTCCTTTGAGTAAAAAAACTACAAGTTGGTCAAACATTAGGACCACACAAGCCAAACAACGCAAATTTAAAGGACTTCTCACGAGCACTTTACAATTTATCCCTTTCTACTTAAGAAGCCTGAAAATATTCCAAAGGGCCTTTGGGTGATTAATTAGTGAATGCTACTTCCCAGGGGCCTATGATGCCAGAGCTGCCTAAGACACAAATAAACCTACAGTCAGACTCAACAGAATAAACTTGCCTGTGTGCCTGAAAAGACACTAAACACCCTTTTCAGAATTAAAAGAACATTTGTATATTTCAGACTTTCCCTTAAAAGACAGAGGGAAAATGATACGAATATAGTCCTTTTAGTGAAAACCTTCCTGATCATTTACAGAGGCAAACTCAGCAGGACCTCCATCACAGCTCCACACCATGTGTCTCGCTGCAGGATAGAAAAGGCAAATCTTGCTGCCTTTTGGGAAGATTTTCTGGCTGCACACAAAGAACATTGCTAATGAAACGCTGTGAGAGGAAGGTCTCCTAGAACAGCTCCGACAAAGCCCTCTGTGTGCACAGGATAAATTGCACGACTTCGGAGCTACACTGGACCTAGCCAGGAAGCTCTGCGAAGACACCGACCGCTCTACCCGCAGCACCTCCCGGTTGGGACCCAGGCCTTCCATGACAACCCGTGGAACGGCCGGCCTCCCGAACCCCCAGTCACCTTTTTCATCAACGCCTCGCGACAGCCTGGCTCCCCCAGGTCCCCCAGGGCCTCCCGCAGGCGGCCCGACGGGCACCCGCAGAACCGGCCAGGCCGGGCAGCCCGGCCCTGAGCGCCGGCTGGAGCGAAGCCGCAACGCCGAACTGATCCTCTCTCCTTGGACGTGATGACCGTGCGGCGCTCGCCCGGGTCGCCCGGCTCCGCCGGCCCGCGTGGGCGAACGAGACTACGGGCAACCGTGCTCCAGCTGCAGAGCGTCCTGGGGGCTCAGCCCACCGCGTTCACAGCAGTTCCGGCTACGGCGGCCGCCGGGGTCCGTGAGACGGTACGCCGGGGCGGAGCTGGGGCGGGAGGCGGGGCACGGGGCGGTGCGACGAGCGCGGGGGCGAGTACGCCCGGGTTTCTCAGCGGGCGCGCTCCCTGAGCGGCGCTCCCATTCGCCATCACTGAGCACGCGCTTTCGCACGCACGGAAACAGCGCGGGGGTGGGGGACGGGCCTGCGACTCGCGTAATGTTGTGGCGCCGTCCTTGCGGCAGAGCGAGAGTAAAGCGTATCTCCGGATTGGTGGAGCGATAGCCAATGGAGTCAACATCCAGGCTGTGATTGGTCAGGGTCGTGTTGACGGATGCGTGAGAATTAAACACCGCCTTAACACCGAAGCTTGAATCGGGCGCGAACCGGATTTTTGACCAAAAGTGTAAAAAACGCTTCGGAGCGAGATACAAGCACCGTTTGCACGATGATGCGTATCGTTGTGGAGCTCCTTCAGCGTACTGTAGCTGACTGTGCTAGGCGCCTGAGTCACTTCCCTTCTTGATGGTAAAGGAGTGTTTTTCAAATGCCAGTGTAGTAAAACCGATGTTCTCCCATATAAACTATCACTCAATTCACAATAAAAGCTTTAAAAAAAAAAAAAAAAGGCTAACGTAAACACTAGCAAAATGTTGTTGTTGTTGTTTTTTAAGTATAATTTTCTTGTACTTCTGAATCAGAACACTTATTTTTTGCACTTGATCCACACTGGGTCTTTTTGTTTGTTTGTTTGTTTTGCTACTGTGACTAATTTATTTTTTTCTTTTTAATGTCTACCGCTTTGAAAAAATATAAAAGGCCCTGATCTGTTTTTCAGAATTACTTGGGCCACATCGTACTGTTCAGGCCACAGGTCACCAACGCCTGTGGGCATACAGACAGTGGCCACGAATCAAGATGGTTTCTGATGAGGTGAACCCGCATCTTTGGCCACCATTTTCTTAATCAAATAAGTCTATCTAGGTTCCAAAACATTCATACATGTAATAAAACATCCGAAAATTCAAACAAACACACTGTAGAACCAATTGTCTTTTCTCAGAAATACCCTTGAACTATACCCTTCATTTTAACACGAGACAAAGCAGAGGCCAAACAAATGGCCTGGGATCAAGAACTGTCCTGCCTTAGGACACAGCATAATGATGGCACCGGTGGCGCCCTGTGTTAGCTGTTGGGCTGCTAATAGCCAATTGATGTTTCATACCAACGAGGCA